CCAGAACTGAATTCTTTAAAACAAAATGGCCGCCAGTCGGCCATTTCGAACCCGATCCGGAAAAAAAAATGACGTGCATCAAGGTCCTATTATGTTTAATGTATGTACCAAATTTGAACAAAATCCGTCCATGTATAACTGAGATTCCGGGTCCGGAATGGTAAAAATGTGCGATTTCAATGCATTTTCGGCCTTAAAGCGGCCGCCATTTGGCTATCGTTAATGAGATCATGAAACAAATACACATACATATTTGTGACATGATGTACCTTGTGTGTATGAAGTTTAAACTTGATCAATCCAAGCATGTCTCAGATACGGATCCAGAACTGAATTCTTTAAAACAAAATGGCCGCCAGTCGGCCATTTCGAACCCGATCCAAAAAAAAAAATGACGTGCATCAAGGTCCTATTATGTTTAATGTATGTACCAAATTTGAACAAAATCCGTCCATGCATAACTGAGATTCGGGTCCGGAATGGTAAAAATGTGCGATTTTGATGCATTTTCGGCCTTAAAATGGCCGCTATTCGGCCATCGTTAATCGGATCATGAAAAAAATGCATGTGCATATGTCCCATATAATGTGTGATGTATGAGTGAAGTTTGAACTTAATCGGTCCATGCATGTTCGAGATACAGGTGATCACGGACGGACGGACGCACGGACGGACGGACGCACACAGGGCAAAACATAAGTCCCCGTTTTCGCACTGCGTCCGAACGGGGACTAAAAAATTCAATGGGCAGTGAGGAAAGGGGCGATTTTTTTAAGAGCGCGTGTAGCAGGTGGGCAATCGCGCGTCCTACAGTAAACACTGTCTCATCCAGGATTTTTGGTAGGTCAATTGGGCTATCGAATTTGAAAAGTAGTAGCTACCGCTAATTTCGAGCCCTGGAGTTAGCACAATGGAATTGCTCAAAACACTGCCCGAGTTTTACCAATTATATGCTATGAGACATGATTTTGAGGGAGTCTCAGGGGTTGTATGTGCTTGACTAAGCCTGGAATATAACTACAGTTCTGTCCCCAATATTTACAGTATGTTTTTGTTCACAATTAAGAACCTTCCCAAATTCACAGATGTATACACACAGTTTATATAGAGCAAATACAGTACATGCATTGTAAAACAACCCTACAATACTAAAAATGCAGAATGTATTAATAAAACACTGGATGAACAAATACTTGGTTGACACAGCATCATTTTGACAGCATTACCTGCGATGGTATGTTTTCTCGGTTTTCAAACATATTGTCCGTGTTCTTCACTATCTGTAATATGAATTCATAGTTGTGTTCAATGCAGGTTCTAATGCTACCAAGATGACGGATAAAATCTGGTAACATTTTCTGATGATTCTGTGGTAATCTCTGAAAGTCTGATTGACATTTAGTGACTCTTTCAATTCCATGACTCCTGTAACCAGATTTCAAAAACATTAACAACTGTTACAGTGTTTTGATTTGGTAGTTAGATGCATGAATGTAGCATTATTCGACAGTCAAACATTGAGACAAATCAGGTTGCACTCTTTATAATTTTAACCAAAATGTGATCCCATTGTAACATTTCGTTTACTTAGCGTCTTTACTACAAACTACGTGGACAAGAAAGCCTGATCGTGCCCGCCGTCCGTGTCAGTGTTTCAGATTCTGATGTAATATTGGTTATAATTGTCACAACAGACCCTACCAGAAGGGAACGTCACTCAGCAATGATTTATCTCAAATAATCATAAAGGAAATTGTGGAGAGTGGTGGATAATATGAATACCGGCGAGGTACCGAGAGCAGTTTTCCCTGCAGTAGGGCGTAAGTTTTCAATAACCGCAGCCGGGGTCCGAAAAGTATGGCTGAGATACGTACTAACAAGTTCGACAAAACCATCAGTCTTGAATAGGGGGAGACCCACCAAATTACTGCATAGAGATTTAAAATTTCTTGAACCTTTTAAAGTGGATAGGCCATCAATCACTTATAGTGAGATGCAGGAGAGACTTCAAGAAGTATCGGCAAAAAATGTGTGTGTTCACGCTTTTCAACGCCGTTCACCACAGATTTACAGGTAGAGACTGGACATGGAAGAGGTTAAATACTCCAGCCGCAGAAAGATTGAACATGTTGATTGTACTGAAAGTGTTGATTGTACCAAGGTACTGTCACAATGTAGCAATATGTATTTATGCTGTAATATGTTGCAATAAATATGGCAGTTATGGTGTAATGTAGCAATAGCCTATACTTCAATCTGTATACTGCCTCGTACTTAATCAAAACACTATTTTTGAAACCCCTGTACGATGGCAATCAGTCATCATGAGTGTTCTAAACCAGTCATCATGAGTGTTCTAAACCAGTCATCATGAGTGTTCTAAACCAGTCATCATGAGTGTTCTAAACCAGTCATCATGAGTGTTCTAAACCAATCATCATGAGTGTTCTAAACCAATCATCATGAGTGTTCTAAACCAGTCATCATGAGTGTTCTAAACCAGTCATCATGAGTGTTCTAAACCAGTCATCATGAGTGTTCTAAACCAGTCATCATGAGTGTTCTAAACCAGTCATCATGAGTGTTCTAAACCAGTCATCATGAGTGTTCTAAACCAGTCATCATGAGTGTTCTAAACAGTCATCATGAGTGTTCTAAACCAGCCATTATGAGTGTTCTAAACCAGTCATCATGAGTGTTCTAAACCAGTCATGAGTGTTCTAAACCAGTCATCATA